CGCAACTTTGAAAATTCACTAAAACCCCTTGGAAATGAAACTATGTCATCCCCTTGGATAAGGCGGCACTCTTGCCGTGAGATGCCGTGAGTTCGAATGCCGCCGACCTATGCGGCTTTAAGTTCAAACCATTTACAGCTTCAGCGCCTGCAATCTGCAGGGTGGGCCAGCCCGCCGTACTCCCGCGGCGTGCGGGTCGGCATCGCAGCGCCGCGTTGTGCCGTGTGAGGGGCGAGGGAGAGGGGGAGGGGAGGGAAGTGGTGAGGAAGGGGGGGGGTGGGGAAGGAGGAGGGAAGGGGGGGGGGTGGGGAAGGGGGAAAGGGGGGGGGGGAAAGGGGGAAGGGGGGAAGGGAAGGCAGAGGTGACAGAATTTTTCTAAGAGGGGGGATCGATCCCCCTGTCTTGTTTCGAAATGGTCGTCTTGATCTCAAGGCTTATAGACGTTTATTTATTGGTATTCCATTACACCATACTTTAATAATATTTCAGTTGCTTGTCCACTCTTTCATGGCCCAATGGCGTTCCGAGCGCCATCTCGTGGCAACCCAACGCGTTCAACACGGTCGAGCCGAGCCGAGTATCCACTTGTTGACTAGTCTCGCTTCTGTTGAATTAACCATCTCCACAACAGTTTTTCAACTTTATTTAACATTGAGCTGTACCACTGCAGTGCTCAGCACAATGTTGATTAAAGTTGAAAACTGTTGTGGAGCTTGGTCCCCTTTAACGGTAAAATCTGTAATGCAAAGGCGCACCGACATCATTTTGAGCAAATTCATGTGTGTTGTTATTGAGTGTTTGTCATTGCATGCAGAGGTTATGTCATCAAGCATTTTCAGTTCACAGTTTTGAGTCTTCTCGCCACTTTCATTTCCTCTCAGGTCAGGCTCATTCCATTTTATAAGATGCACAGCTTCTCTCTCTTTGTTTTGTTTGTATTTATTTAATCCTATTGCATTTGCATTCACAGGGAATTGAGTGCAGAAGCTGGGCTTTGTACAGCCTAGGACAGCACAGTCTTTATTTCATGTGACTTATTTTAAGTGTCTGGAACGTCATTCTTAGGTATGTCTTTCAAATCTACATATTTTTAACAAAATTTCTAATGTGTTCCTATAGTTTTTTTTTTTTTTTTCAAAACTGTTGATTGTTTTTAGTCCTCTAAATCTTTTGTTGTTTCCTTTTATATTTTCAGTTCATTATGGAGGGTGTTAGAAAGAAATATTTAATGTGCATTCATTGTGATCCTCCAACTCACTACGAATCAGTTGATGCATTGAGTAAACACCTCTTTCGTAAACATTCAAGTATGGATTTATTCAAATGTGGTTCTTGCAAGAAAGACTTTTTGCACAAAACATCCTTGATTCGACACCTGACACAAGTTCATGAATCCGGGCAGGATTCTGAAGAATTGCAAGATGGCTCATCGTTTGATACAAACAGTGGTAGTCAGACTCAGTCTGGTATCGAGATATTTCACCTTGAAGATGATACTAATGATGATGACAATGTTGGTAATGTTTCTGTGGGAGAACATAGTCAGGCTCCTGTGGAAGCCTCTCCTTTTAATATTAAGGATGAAGCCGCTATTTTTTTAATGAACCTGCGTTCATCTGGTAACATAACACATGCATCAGTATTTGTGATCCAGGAGCATGTTGAGAAGCTCTTAACCAGTGTTCTATCCAATGTTCGTGATCAGACAGCGGATTTTCTTAAGAAATCTGGCATATGTGAAAATGATTCTTCTCAGTTTTTAGATCAGACTTTTAATATAAGTGATCCATTTGATGGCCTCAAGAAAGTAGAAGACCAAATGGATTATTTCTCCTCCCGCTTTGGAATGGTGCAATCTGAGGAAAAACATATGGGCTCTCGAATTGAAAATAGATTTGACAGAGAGAAAAGGATGTTTCTGCCGGCACAGGTTTTGGAAACATTTCAATATATCTCACTGATTGGTACTCTTACACTCATTGTGCGCATTTCTTATTTGAGAAAGCTCATTGAGTCTGAACAGCCAAGCAGTGATGGCACATATCGCTCATATGTGGATGGGTCAGACTACAAATTAAACCCATTCTGTAAGAAGTATCCTAATGCAATCAGAATTGTATTTTACCAAGATGATCTGGAAGTGGCCAATGTTTTGGGTTCAAAGGATGTCATCCACAAGCTGGGATGCTTTTATTTCTATATTCAAAACTTCCCACCCGAAATCAATTCTCTTCTCTCTTCAATTTTTTTGCTTGCCTTGGCATACGCTGAAGATCTCAAGAAGAAAGGAGCTTTTTCAAAAGTCTTGACACCACTGCATGAAGAAATCAAGAAGCTAATGTCTGATGAAGGGGTGACCATAGACTTACCAGAGGGAGGGTCTTATGTTCTTCGTGCTTGTCTTGTGTGTTTTTGTGGTGACTCTCTGGCTGCTCATGCCATCTTAGGCTTCCTCTCACCCTCTGCAGACAGATTTTGTAGAAGATGCATGATAAGCAAAGGTGAATTTGCTGAAGATTCTACCTTTGTTGGACAGCTACGAACCTCTGCGTTACACAAGCAGCATGTTGATGCAGTTTTGGAGAATCCAAGCCTTGCGAAGTCATTCGGAGTGAAGGAGAGTTCTCTTCTCACTGAAATGATGCGAGTTCCTGAAGATTCAGTGTTTGATGCTCTTCATGACCTGGTCGGCGTTATTGCTATGGATATAAAGTTGGTACTCTATGAGTTTATCTGTGTGCGAAAACTTTTCAGTGTCTTCGATTTCAACTCAAATATAAATATGTTTGATTACGGCAAGCCAGATGTTAAGAATAAGCCTTCTCCAAACTTCATGTACCAAAGACTTGTAGACAAAGGCCACTCATTAAAGCAGAATGGCGCTCAAACCTTCTGTCTGCTGAGAATCTTCCCTTTCATCATATCAGGAGTTGATGAAAAGGACCCATTTTTGGAATTGGTGTTCTTGTTGCAGGACATTGTGAAAATCATATATTCCTTTGAAGTGAAAGATGCAAACATTTTGAGATTGGATAATCTGGTTCCTGAACACAACCAACTATTTCACAACTTATTTATTGCACCCTTGGCAGCACCTGCCAATGCTGGCAATGCAAATGGTGAGGTTGTAGAGGAAGAAAATGCTGATGATTTAGATGAGGGGGAAGGTGATGATGATGCTGGAGACGAAGGTGAAGATGAAGATAGTGAAGTTGACGATGTTGATGAAGTTGAGGAAGTTCCAGTAGTTGCAGTTCAGCCAAGACGAAGGCGCCGGCGCCGTCTGAGAACTAAAAGGCTTAAAAAGGGCATCAACAAACTGCACCATCTCTCCCACTATTCTCAACAAATACGAGAAAAGGGACCGGCTATTCGATTGTGGTGTGCCAGGTAATATTTCTGTTATAACATAAAAACACAAATTATTTTTTTTCCTTGCCTGTGACATTTTGAATTTTAATAATATTATTTTAATTTGGTTTCACCTTTCCTGTCTTGTTTCAGATTAGAAGCAAGGCACAAAATTATCAGAAAGCATGCTGGAGTCCAATCAAATTTTAAAAATGTTCCTAAGACAATGGCTTGTGTTTATCAGCTAAGTACTCTTGGTGCAATTCTATCCAAAACTGGTCCTCGAGGTATAACTGCTTCGAAAACTGGTGCACAGTCTTGCCTTGTCAAGTCAAGCACCTACAAGGACTTGCTAGTAGCTAATGGTTATAAAGATGATGATGAGATACTAATTGTGGACTCTGCTGAAGTTTCTGGAGAAGAATATTCCTGTGGGCTCTTTGTTGGACTGAAGCATACAGGTTTGCAGCCTGTCTTTGCTGTGATTGTAGATGTGATAGAAAAGGCGGGTGACTCTCCGAAAGTTTCTTTGGTAGTGTCCAAATGCCGCAATACTAGATTCAGTTCAAGATTCAATGCATACCGTATTGACAATTCTTTTAATGAAAGCTCAGAATTGGTTGATGTGAAAGACCTTGTGAATCATCGCCCCATTGCTCCTTGGACTCCTTGCATGGAAACTGGTGATGAATTTTTATACCTTGCCCCTCGCACTGTGGATTATTAAGAGGTAAGTGAAAAGTACCAAGCAGAGCTAGCTTATGATATAATTTAAAAAATAATGAAAGTTTTCTTTTACTGTGTGGTATGATTTTTGAATCATTTATTACAAACCATTTTTTAAAAATTCTTGATAGATTTGAATTGAAATCTTTTGTGACACTTTTAAAAGTGATGTATTTGGATATTTTATATTTCTTCAAGAATGATTTTGAAGGGAGGAGAGTGAGAGGGATGCAGCCTTGGGTTTCTAGTATCAGTGGGAAGCAGTATGAAGGGGAAAAGAGGGAGGCGCTGTTAGTATGCAAAAAAAGGCGGTCAGATATTTTATTGTGAGCGCTCGGTGCAGGCTAGTTTAATTGTTTATCTTTCTCGCCCATGCTAGCCCATGCCAGTCTTCTAAAAGAACTGTTTGTTACTCCAGGGAAGTCGGGTAGGAAGGGGAAAAGCTTGATGTGACACGGGCGTAGCCTCTGATTGGCCAGGAGTCCGGGATCGGGGCTGGTCGACCCAAAGCGTTCCTTGCGCGAGGCTAGAGGGGACGCCAAAACTGAAGCATTTTGTTAAATTAGTTCTTGTTACATTTTCTTCTAATTAGACGATTTCTAATCGTCTTATTTTTTGAAATACCTCTTTATTTAATTGGTCTCTAGCATAATCGTCAGTAGTATTTCATTTTGAAGCGAAATTGCAATTCAATTTGAATCGTTTCTCGAAGGGCGCGGACGGCGCGGGCGTCCGTTTCCGTTTGACGCCAGTAGTTTGTTTCAATTGCGGTTTGAAGGCGCGACTTCGCTTCATTCGGGATAAATAGTAGTTTCCTCATTAGAATCGCGGTTTTTGAACAGTTATTCTGTCTTTTTCTATCTTCTATTCATTGCACTGTGTTATTTCTTTGAAGGTTTTGGGCAGTCTGGTCTGAGTTGGTCATGGAGCGGCTCGCAAATCTTGATGCCAATGGCCTGGCAAAGCTGTTGCGAAAAAAATTGAATTCAGAGCTCATCTCTAAGTTAAAAGGTAATTACAGTTTCCTTTCCTTCCCTTTTCTGGTTTCTATCTATTTACCAAACGTTCATCTGTTGTTTTCTGTAGCACAAAAGGTGACAGGGGCTATATTTGCCAAGTTGACTGGCCCTAACCTGTTGCTCTTTGGCTTCTCACTGGGTGAAGTTACTGATGTAACTAACCTTTTGGATGATATTCGTGAAGGCAGAGAGGTTAGTAAATAAACGTTTTCATTTCCTTGTGTTATTGTGAAGTTGACCTTCAGATCATCATTAAATTTGAACTTTGCCTTTTATGTTAAGGTTCTTGCTGAAAGTGATGATGAATCGTCATCAGAGGACGGAGATGTTGAATCCATGGAGCGATCACTTATGGAATACATTGCTGATGATCAGGAAGAATTTGTAAAGAAACAATCGCTGTATTGGAAAATGAATATGTGTCAACGCTTGGAAGCGTGGAAAGAAGCTTCTAGCCGAAGTAAGTTCCTTGTATTTATAATTTTAATTCCCACGAATCAAATTGTTCCCTGACTTGAAATATCTGAATAGAAATTCATTGTCTTCACTTGATTTTTTTCATTCTAGATTTACCTTGTGCATCTGCACCAACATTAGGAGGATGCAAGTTGAAGGTATATTTCTTTATAAACATCTCTTTGCCCACAAGTTTCCTTATCTTTTCACACAGCTATCTTATATTTCTGTTCAATTCTGTTCCTTTTCAGGATCCACTTCCGCTGCCAACACGAAATGTTTCTGATCAGACTCCTACTCCAATGCGTTTTACTTCTAACCGGTCTTTGCGGTCAACAACAAATGAACGAATCAAGATTACAGCTCCATCTGAAACTGTCGTTTCAATGCGTCGCTCAGCTCAAGCTAGAGCTCAACCCTCAGCACATCAGTCCTTCGAGTTTGGACGCAGGGTTCTTCCTGAATCAGTTCCACTCAGCAGAGATACCCAGTTTCAAGAACCATCAATACTACAAATTGATGGAGATCAAGAAGAGTTTGAAACTCCCATCAACAATAATCTTAACAATTTGGGTACTGATGATTCTGACTCTGATAACTTGGACGACAATGAAGTGGGCCAACAGTTTCTGAAGGATAAAGAAAACATGGTAAAACCAACATTTCCATTGAAGTCTGCTGAAGAGTTGCTGTCTATTGAACCTCATCTTCCCTCTGTAAGTCTTCTTGTCTCGTATAGTGTGCATTTCATAATCTTTCTACCTTATTTAAAATTATTTTTTGTGTTTTTTGCAGTTTGATGTTGAAGGTATCTTGCTAGCTGATGATAAAGCCAAAAAGTTGGTGCCATATCTTAAAGATGGATACTTACTTCCCTCGAGATTAAGGAAGTTGGTTTATAGAACCCTAATGAGGCATTTGTACAACAATCATGTTGGGTAAGAGTCTTTTTTTACCTCTTGTTGGGTGAGCGGGTAGATGCGATTGAACGTTACTGATAGAACTAACAGGTTTCCTGCTTATGCTTAAATTTTCAGGCATGTTAAGGATGTTACATCACAGATGAAACATGGAATGGCCAAGAGTATTGTTACTACCTACACACAGTATCAAAGCTCAGTAACAATTGGCAAGGCTACACCTTGGGTAATGTATTCCTCTTTTTCATAGTTTTACTGCTATCTTGTTTGGTGCAGGCTTTATATCTAATTTTCTGTTACAGGCTCATCTGTTTTTTCCCTCAAAGAACAGTGGACAATTGGCCAATATCATGAAGCGGGCTCAGACTGCCTTACCACTAAAGGAGAGATCCAGGAAGGGGAAAATAAAGAAACCTGTTAAGAAGAAACCTGCTACTTCTGACATAAATGTATGGTTTTCGGTTTGACATCAGTTGGTAGAATTTTTGGTAGAATTTTACTTGAGGTTTATTTATTTTTTCAGATTCAGGCTTTGGCTGTCTTGATGCCAGACAGACAACACAGAGAAGAAATTTTTGATGGAATGCAAAGAACTTTTGGATTGCGATGTGATGCTAGGGATAAGGGCCTAAGCATCACTGAGCTTATTAACCAATACCCTCACTTTCTAAATTATTCGGGAGAGTTGGTAACTATCGTGATTTTATTCTTTTAGTACAATTTGTCTATAATCCCAACAAGGGGGAGTGTTTCTTTTTCGGTCAAAACTAACAATTTCTCTTTAAATTTTAGATTTCAACGGAGTTTCGACTGCTGCACCCAAATGCAAAGGACATGTGTCTTGAAATGATTCCTATCATTCCAAAAGTTGTAGAGAAGTGGAATAATGCTAGAGTCAACCCAAAATTTGATGACTGTAAGCATCTTTTACCTGTTGTGAACATATTATTTTTTTTATCTGATACACTCATTGCTCTTCAGTTCTAATTGGCTGAGCGATAGCGAAGCCCGTTACTCAGGTGGGGTTGAAAAGTTTTGTCTGTCTGTCTGTCAGCGTCTGTCTCTGCTGTCTGTCAGAGAAACATGGCACTCTTTCCTGAACGAGGCCGATCTGGCTGAGATTTTGCACATCTTTGTATATTCTGGCTCGGCACACGCGAAATTTCACATCCTAGCTCAACTGTGTTCATTTTTATAGGCGAAAACACCTAAAAACGCGAAAAATAGAGATTTCTGCAGATAGACCACTTCTGTCTTGGAGAAAGGGGTCTGGGGGGCGGAGCCCCCCAGCCTCGACAAGTTAAAAAGTCACAAGGGTCAAGAAGCATTCAACAAGTTAAAAAATAACCGACAACGGACAAGCCATTCCTGCCGCAGGCATGCTGAGCGGCAGGCCAAGGTAGGTACGCCAGGACGTGGATTGGAGGAACAGGCAGCGAGACATCGCGAAGCCTGTTACGACAAGACGCGGTCTGGCGTAAACTACCTTGTTAGTTGATCTTGTTTTGCAGCAACAATGAGGGCATTTCTAATTCTAGCAAGCCGTCTTCCTCATGCTATTCAGAGAAACATGGGCACTGCGTTTCCTCAAGAAGAGGAAATATTAGTAGTTGTAAATGTAAGTCTATTGATACTCAAGGAAATAAATTTTAACTTGTCACATTTTGTCAGGGTACTTTACTAAAGTAATTTTTCTTTTTCAACAGCGCGGTATTGACCTTGAGCAATTTGTAGTAGACAGAAGAAATGAAGCAAAAAAGCCAGTGCAGCCGTACCTTTTGGGTGTGAGGGGTGCTCTAGTCCTAACAGAACTGTTAAAAACATTTCTTGTGCTTGACAATAATTGGCTGAGCGATAGCGAAGCCCGTTACTCAGGTGGGGTTGAAAAGTTTTGTCTGTCTGTCTGTCTGTCTGTCTGTGTGTCTGTCTGTCTGTCAGCACTACTCCTCCTGAACGGCTCGGCCGATCTGGCTGAGATTTTGCACACTTCTTGGGTATGTTCTTGGCTCGGCACACGCGAAATTTCACCATCCTAGCTCAACTGGTTCAGTTTTTATAGGCGAAAAACACCTAAAAAACGGCGAAAAATAGAGATTTCTGCAGGTAGACCACTTCTGTCTTGGAGAAAGGGGGGTCTGGGGGGCGGAGCCCCCCAGCCTCGACAAGTTAAAAAGTCACAAGGGTCAAGATCGTGTTATCTGTAGATAAAACGACTCTATTTAGAATGTAGGGGGGTCTGGGGGGCGGAGCCCCCCAGCATTCAACAAGTTAAAAAATAACCGACAACGGACAAGCCATTGCCTGCCGCAGGCAGGCTAGCGCCGCAGGCCAAGGTAGGTACGCCAGGCGTGGATTGGAGGAACAGGCAGCGAGACATCGCGAAGCCTGTTACGACAAGACGCGGTCTGGCGTAAACCTACCTTGTTTAATTGAATTACCTAGACTGCCTTCAATAAGGGGTATTGATATTCTTTTTAAGAGTTATATAGTTTTTAATGTTCATTATCCACAGTCCTGGAAAAACTTTTTCAGGTTTATTCAGACTTGTTTTTACAAGATCTTGTGCAGTGAGGATGCTTGTGTGCCCCCCTCTTGCATAGAGTTATATGGTCTGGCCTGTGGCCTTTAAGTAATTATAAATCTCAATATTTTTTCCAATCAATTCAATTTGTATCTTTTCTTGTTATCTGATGATCTCAGAAATGTAACTTTATATGTGAATAACAATAATTAATTAATTTTTTGTTTTGTTGCTACTTTGTTTATGAAGCTGCAATAATGCTTAGTTAACAGGAGACTCCAGGTCGGCCGCCGGCCGTGCCTCGGCGCGCGGAGCCGATGCAGACCGAAATGAAAATCGCGATTTCTCGAAAACGGCTTGGCCAAAAAATTTCAAACTTGGTACAGAGACTGGCAATAGACCAGGCCCGCCCCCGGTCCGGTCAAATCCGGTCCGACATTGCCTGTTTGCCTACTGGCGTGATCGGCTCGAAAAACGGAGACCGCCGTATCTCGGCTCCTGGGCACGATATCGAAAATCGGGCTTTTCAGCGTTGTAGTCCAACTCGTTCCCTGCCGCCTCTCCAAATTTCAAGTCAAAATCCTGAACGGTGTGGCCGTAATTTGGGAAACGCCGAGACGAAAAACGCGACTTTTCGGCGACTGGCGTGGCGGAGGCAGGCTGGAGGCAGGCAAACAGGCCTGATCAAGGGACCGGCCCCCGAAGTGCCCCCTCCGCACCTCCCCCGCCCCGCCCGCCCTGCACTGCACTGCCAGACTGCCATTGTAATGCGCCCGGCCGTCTGGGGCTCGCGCCTGCCTGGCTGTCGGGGTGCATCCACGCTACCTGCTCTAGCAGTGTCTCTGTCGCACTTGCAGTGACAGACGGCACAGACGAAGAAAGTAGCTGTCGACGTCTGGGATGGCTATGCGGACGCCACCTTTGGCTTCGGCGAGGAGGCGCGGTGCGGTCCCAGCCGATTCCGAGCCAGCCGGCGGCAAGGCAGAAAAGTTCATCAGAAACTGGCTCAAAATGACACGTTTTTCAACATTGGTACCAATATGCGTTTCGAAGCGCGCTGATCAATTCTATACCCATGAAAATTGTTCAATGATTTATTGTCAAAATTGTGCTAGCAATTTCTCGTTTACACGCAACTTCCTAGTTTTTCGAGCTGATTCCGCCACTATCCGTAAAATATCAACTTTCCGAAAATTTCAAAATTTTACTTCCGCTCCTAGTCTCTTTTGTTTGGCGATGGCAATATACCTGCTCGAGGGTCGGAGCCAGGCATGTGGCCCCGCCTGCCCAGCCCAACCCAGCCCCATTCAGGCCAAACAAAAGAGACTAGGAGCGGAAGTAAAATTTTGAAATTTTCGGAAAGTTGATATTTTACGGATAGTGGCGGAATCAGCTCGAAAAACTAGGAAGTTGCGTGTAAACGAGAAATTGCTAGCACAATTTTGACAATAAATCATTGAACAATTTTCATGGGTATAGAATTGATCAGCGCGCTTCGAAACGCATATTGGTACCAATGTTGAAAAACGTGTCATTTTGAGCCAGTTTCTGATGAACTTTTCTGCCTTGCCGCCGGCTGGCTCGGAATCGGCTGGGACCGCACCGCGCCTCCTCGCCGGAGCCAAAGGTGGCGTCCGCATAGCCATCCCAGACGTCGACAGCTACTTTCTTCGTCTGTGCCGTCTGTCAGTGCAAGTGCGACAGAGACAATGCTAGAGCAGGTAGCGTGGATGCACCCCGGCAGCCAGGCAGGCGCGAGCCCCAGACGGCCGGGCGCATTACAATGGCAGTCTGGCAGTGCAGTGCAGGGCGGGCGGGGCGGGGGAGGTGCGGAGGGGGCACTTCGGGGGCCGGTCCCTTGATCAGGCCTGTTTGCCTGCCTCCAGCCTGCCTCCGCCACGCCAGTCGCCGAAAAGTCGCGTTTTTCGTCTCGGCGTTTCCCAAATTACGGCCACACCGTTCAGGATTTTGACTTGAAATTTGGAGAGGCGGCAGGGAACGAGTTGGACTACAACGCTGAAAAGCCCGATTTTCGATATCGTGCCCAGGAGCCGAGATACGGCGGTCTCCGTTTTTCGAGCCGATCACGCCAGTAGGCAAACAGGCAATGTCGGACCGGATTTGACCGGACCGGGGGCGGGCCTGGTTTATTCCTAGTCTCTGTACCAAGTTTGAAATTTTTTGGCCAAGCCGTTTTCGAGAAATCACGATTTTCATTTCGGTCTGCATCGGCTCCGCGCGCCGAGGCACGGCCGGCGGCCGACCTGGAGTCTCCTGTTAAATACATGACACTTAGCAAAAGGATTATCTCAATCTGAATTGTTTTTATTAGTAAGTGTTGGACCTAAACCACCAATATTTGGTAGGCATTTGGTTTTTGGGGAGGGAGAGAAAGTTGAGGTGCAAAGCAACTTATTCAAATTGAGCCAAATGGTGTACATGGGGTGAGGAAGGTAAGGCTTTGTTTCTTTTCATAACTTTCAAGGGTTTATTTCTATATCTCATGTGCTGATACAAATTTTTGTTTTCCATGTACGCTGGAGTCCACTGTCGAGGAAAGCTGGGGAGAAATCGCTGTTCTGGCTTGAAGTTGAGCTGGGTGGCAGGCAAGCAGATAAAGCAGACAAGCAGCTACATGCAACAATCAAGCAGAAAAGGAAAGAGGTGCATAAGTAAGTATCTTTAAAAGATCATTAAGTCTCTTTGCTGTGTTAGATGATCAAGTACAGAAAAATGTTCCTTCTTAGTTGGTAACAGTTTTATTCTTTGCAGGTGCCACTGACACAACTGTGCGTGTACCAGTTCTTCATCATACTTCGAGGAATTGTGTCCTGCGATTTCACATCCATGAGTGCTAAATTTCCTTGTGGCGCAAGATACCGTAATTAAAATAAGTTGACATCACTACCATTGTTTTTTATCAAATTAATTCCTGTCCTGTGTTGTAAACATGGTAGTCTATGAACATCATTTCTTTCTCCAGTGGACAATTTTATGATCAAGTGAAATTTTGTCCATTAAGTATTCACTGTATTGCCCACCCCCCACCCCCCAGTAGAAGCGAAGAATTTGTCTATATTCTATGGACATCTGTGTCCTTATGATGTTCTTCCTCCTGCGGACAATGTTGAGAACCGCCTTGTGAACAATTTTGTCCATAGTTATTGACATCATTGTCTCTAAAATCATGTGGACAAATTTGTCCATAGTTTGTGAACAGTTTTTACTGTCCTAAAGTTCTTTCTTAGAGGGACAATTTTAAGGGCAGTATTGAGGACAAATTTGGCCATAGTTATGGACAATAAAGCCTCCAAACCTGAATGGACAAATTTGTTCATAGTTTACGTTCAAAATTGTCTCCATTTGGTAACGCGTAAAAATGTTTCCACACAAGCCACAAATTTGTTCGTAGCCCAGTGACAAAAATGTCCCTAGGAGTTTAGTGTGTATGGGCAGGATGCGATCGTTTCGGCAGGGGGTTATGTGCTTCGGCGTGCTCGTGGTGCGGCAGCAAGCTTCGCCGGCGGGACCGATATCAAATAAACAGATCATTGATCTGTTTTTTTTTTTTGCTTTAAGTGGTATGGGAAAGGGTAAGTTTAGACTTTGATCAACTTATCCTTTCAGGAAACACATTTTAGTCCTGAAAAGGACCATTTTTTTGACAAAGAGTCGACTTTTATTTTTGGCTGAGCGATAGCGAAGCCTGTTACTCCAGTGGGGTTAAAAAGTTTTGTCTGTCGGTCTGTCTGTCGGTCTGTCTGTCCGCACTACTCCTCCTGAACGGCTCGGCCGATCTCGGTGAGATTTTGCACACTTCTTAGGTATGTCCTTGGCTCGGCACACGCGAAATTTCACCATCCTAGCTCAACTAGTTCAGTTTTTATAGGCGAAAAACACCTAAAAACAGCGAAAAATAGAGATTTCTGCAGATAGACCACTTCTGTCTTGGAGAAAGGGGGGTCTGGGGGGCGGAGCCCCCCAGCCTCGACAAGTTAAAAAGTGACAAGGGTCAAGATAGTGTTATCTGTAGATAAAACAACTCTATTTACAATGTAGGGGGGTCTGGGGGGCGGAGCCCCCCAGCATTCAACAAGTTAAAAAATAACCGACAACGGACAAGCCATTGCCTGCCGCAGGCAGGCTAGCGCCGCAGGCCAAGGTAGGTACGCCAGGCGTGGATTGGAGGAACAGGCAGCGAGACATCGCGAAGCCTGTTACGACAAGACGCGGTCTGGCGTAAACCTACCTTGTATATATATACAATGTTATTATCCGAGATCCCTCCATCCCACCCTCGGATTTCTCCTACACTTTTTATTCTTGTAGTTTCTTATTCTATTTTTATCTTTATTTAGATTTGTTTTGACACTTTTTTGTACATGAGAACAAAATTTAATTAATGATGAAATTTACATCATATTTAGAACACAAACAAAAACACAACTTTCCTGGGTTAAAATTAACATCAATAAATGGTTTGTCCTTTCGTACTGACTCTTCTGTTGTTAAATTCACAAACATCACAGCCAGCTTTATTGGCTGAGCGATAGCGAAGCCCGTTACTCAGGTGGGGTTGAAAAGTTTTGTCTGTCTGTCTGTCTGTGTGTCTGTCTGTCTGTCAGCACTACTCCTCCTGAACGGCTCGGCCGATCTGGCTGAGATTTTGCACACTTCTTGGGTATGTTCTTGGCTCGGCACACGCGAAATTTCACCATCCTAGCTCAACTGGTTCAGTTTTTATAGGCGAAAAACACCTAAACAAGGTAGGTTTACGCCAGACCGCGTCTTGTCGTAACAGGCTTCGCGATGTCTCCTGCCTGTTCCTCCAATCCACGCCTGGCGTACCTACCTTGGCCTGCGGCGCTAGCCTGCCTGCGGCAGGCAAAAGCTTGTCCGTTGTCGGTTATTTTTTGACTTGTTGAATGCTGGGGGGGTTATGGCTCCTGGGAAGAGTGTGCTTGCAAGCATGCTCTTGGTAAGAGTGTGCTTTGTGGTTGACTCCTAGGAGGAGCATGCCATGCACTCTCTTCAGTTTCTAGAGAAGGCGCGTTAGGAGATCCTCGCTGGAGGTCCGAGTGCGGGAGCGAGAGCGCGACTGGCCACGCGCCTGCCTGGGAGACGGCTGCTCTTGCTCGTGTTCTTGGCGGCTTCTGCTTCTACTTCGCCTGCCGTTCACAGCGCTCCAGCCCGGAGGGTGTTGGGGCTCGCTGGAGAAAGCAGGGCGAGTCGGCTGGGGGCGTCGTGAGACTGAAAGTCGAAA